AAAGAAAGAAAGAGATGGGACAAAGCAGCCATTTTATTACGGAATGGCAACACTTAGGCTTACACGAATCTCCTTCCGTTTTTTTTTCACTGTAATAATATTTTCCCCTTCGTCGTACTACTTGCTAATTTCTGTTACTTTGTACCTAATAGAATGCTAAGAATAATTTCTTTTAAAATAGAATTTATATGTTAACAGAAATTTAGTTCTCTAGACTTATAAGAGTTATACAAATAGCTATCGCATGTTTTAATATGATACTGTTTTTACGATACTGTTGGTTAATTATCCGAAACATTTAACGGCAGCGAAGTTATAACTAGACGCTTGCTCGCGGCAAAAGTGCAGGTGAAAAAAAATTGAAAATTTACTACGGCTGCGCTATAACAGAGTGTTATAGAAACAAAATTCCGCCACAACCTCCCAGTATGTTCAACATAGTCAGTATTACCATTTTATTCCGCTAATGCTTCATGCTGTATCTACCGTATTCGCGCTTTTATTCGTGAAACAAGCGAGGTTTATATACGGAACACATTCTGCATTTGAGGCAAAAACATTGATGTTAATGAACAGCGCATGATGAGAAAAAGTAAATCCTATGAAATCGTTCGCACGCAATAATTAAATATTATTGTAGAGTAACAGAGTGAATCGCGAATCGTATTCCCTTGCGCATCACGATGCATTTCCGAAGAGTAAATCGCGAGAAATGAGAGCTGGAAAAAAAGGCCACTTCCGCTTTTGACAATGCGGATCTCTTCGGGGACCAACGAACCGGCCGTCGCTGTTCGAAGAGCCCAAGTGCAGACGGGTAACGGGGAAGTGGAAAAAACGGGCAAAACATGGTCGTGTCGACGTGTCCTGTCGCATATTTTCTCGCCGCGCGCCGGTAATCATAAAACTCAAACCGCGCGCGTTATATGTATAAAACTGAAGCGGCGCACTTTTCCGACCAGTGTACATTCGAGTCCTCGCTTTGAATACAGCGCCCGGAGGACGGCAATAAAGAGTTTTGACAAACGGGCTAGACGCGCGAGCGAGCGCGACGCCGGGCGTCGCGTCGCCACCCACCACGGTACACAACTCGGCGTCAGTGTGTGCACTGCAGATCGCGTGGCTATGTGCACCGCCTGGCTTTTTCATTCGGCCGGAAAAACGAATGAACGTCGGCCGTGACGACAAACGGCGGGTACACGTCGAGTACATGAATACACGAGCGGCCGTTTATACATTTCGCTCTCCGACTATATTGCAGCTGGCATATTCCGGCGTGCTTTTGCGAGATCGTCTTTGGGAGGAAAATCGCTGGGAGGGAGATCGAGATCGATGGTTTGTTTATTGAAACAATTAACAATTCTAGTACAATCTATCGTGTCGCTTTCTTTTGTTAATGATCGTCCTTAAAATCGAAATAGTTTTCACTAATATTTCAAGTGAATGATAAGTGACTTCATATACGTATGCGATTTAATTTTAAATATAAAGATAAGCTACTATATTGCAAAGAAAAATAAATTTATCATTTAAACGTATAGAATAGTGATATTTTTACGAAAAATTAAATCACACACACATATGTATATGAAAGTACTTTTTATACATTTGGATTTGTTATGTTATAGGATCTCAGATTATAACAATATCTAAAATCGGGAAATAAGACATCTTTTAGATAGCTCGATTTTTATTCTATATTGTCTTTTACATTCTAAATCCAAGTGTGTAATAAGTGCCTTTATATGTATGATTTATTTTTTTCGTGATAAAAATTTTGAACTCTCTATTCTCTAGGATGTTATATTAATCTAAGTGTGTACATAAGTATAATTTGGTGCGTAAAACTCCCGTTTTAGACTTTGTGTTACCTGAGATTAAAAATAAAAATTCAACGGGATTTACAAAATAAACACATTTCATGCAAAAGCACGGTCCACTTTTGGTGTCTAATTCACTCCGTTAAATAATTTTTTTTGAGAGAGAAAAAAATCGCGCTGCTGACTTTTGTAATTGTTTCCATTCATCGTCGGCACGAGTCGTGCCAATGCACTCTCTGTATGCTCTTTTTTCATATTGTTGGGAAAAATAAATGAACGTCGGCGACAAACGAGGATGCACGTCGTCTACATGAATACAAGCGCGCAAACCTTTACTCTTGCTCCTATTTCATCCTCTGACTAACGCGAATTATGACTATAGCCAAAATAAAATGCTTTTTCTTTTAAATCGTAATGGTAAATTAAAAATAAATTTCTCTCGTCTGATTTTGAATACCTGTGCGAGATTCAAATCCAGATATGTCGGCGGCATTCATCATGTTGGGAAAATCATCAATGCATCGCGTTTTTAACGCCCATCGAATTTTCATCGACGAAACAATTACCACATCTGCGACGAAATTTTTGTCATTCCGGCATCAATATACAGGTTTAGCTGAGTGACGACATGTTGTATCACACGAGTAGTACACGCACATGTCCGTATATGTGTATATATGTCCGTACCTACACACTCCACCCATTTCCTCTCATCATTCGGCGTGGCCGATGGCACTTCACCCCGCACATCGGAATCATCCAACGATGAAGCACTCGATTACTGCATTAACAATGCTACTAATTCAGCAGTGTCCCGCCAAAGCCCCTCGCGCGTACTCACTCTGACCCTTCCCCCTCCCCTCCTTCACTCTCTTACATTCTCTCTCTCTCTCTCTCTCTCTCTTTCGTTCGATTCAACTGGCTCGAATTGGAATCGATATCATATCGTTACTGCATCCGTCCGACCTCGCTTACGAGTGTGTGTACACGGCTTTCGGCGTGGCTGCTGACACTCGTTTTCCACTGGGCCGTTAAAACGGTTAAAACGACCACACGACCGATACGTCATTCCGCAATGTTCACGACCGGCCGTTGGGCGCGCCGAACATGATCGTCGGCCAATCGTAATCGCTGACTCCCGATTTCCATCCGTAGTAATGAAATCGTATCGCTCGCTACCGCACGTTCAACCATCGCATTTATTCGATACCTACATCGAGCGCTTTCACGCTTCGTTCGCTTTTGTATATTGCGCGATATGTACGTGTCTTTCATTCTACGAAATGTATCGCTCAATCCTAATCTTACGCGCTTTGTCGCCAGCGTAGCTAGATATTCAGTTATTACGTACGAATAGATAGAGTGAAATTTGTTTCGCTTAATTCGAAATTCTAAACGCTTAAAAATTTTCCTTTTAATTCATAAAATACTTATAAACAAGAGTTGATATTGAAATCTATTGTATAATTACTGAAAACTAATTTTAAGGTAATAATTAACCTCGATGAAATGATTTATTTCTTTCTCCAGCCTCTTGCTAATTTTCGATTAGCAGCACAGAGAGTAGAAAATTGGATTCCGTCTTAAGGGGATCCTAAAGCAAAACTCAAACTCCGAAGTCACTAGAGGTCGCGCTGCGCGCCGCACATCGACATGTTTTTATATACTACACATCAATATCTCACGCAATCAATATCGCACGTATGATACACGCAGTCACACATTCGTGTAACAATCAATTTTCGTATAACAAATTCGTCGCAATAAAGCATCTAAGTCTAATTCTAAGAACTCGATTATTTGTTCGTATAAACTACGTCTGGGAATCACTATTTCGTACATATAGATTGCAAAGCATTCATTTCAAGCAAATGTTGTCACGACTTGACAGCTGAAACGCCATGTTTCACTAAGAAATGGTAAAAAATATATCAATTTTGATATTTTTGATCGTTCTAGGCATAGACTCCACTTCCCAGACACGTATTAATGCTTATATACTTTAATTCTGGAAAACGATTTTCGAATCGGTGAAAGAGAAAAAAAATATTCATTATACAAAAATTACATTTAATTTATTCGATAAAACAGGAGACTTAAGGGGATCTAAAGCCTCCTGTTTTACCATGTAAGCACGTATAATTTTTGTATAAAAAATACTTTTTTTCTCTTTCCAATTCGAAAATTCTTTCCTAAGATTAAAATATACGTATTAATACGTGTCTGAAAAATGGAGTCTATATCGAGAACCATAAAAAATTTTAAAATTGATATATTTTTTACTTCTTAGTGTAACATGGTGTCTCAGCTGTCAAGTCGTGACAACATTTGCTTGATATGAAAGCTATAGGTACGAAATAGTGATTTTCAGACACATAGGTTACACGACAAACAACGTCGAACAAACGAATTCTTATTTAATTATACTTAGATGCTTTATCGCGACAATTTGTTATACGAAAATTGACACGTACGTGTGATTGCGTGTATCATAGGTTGCGTGAGATATTGCTCTGATAGTATAAAAATGCACATGTCGATGTGCGATGCGCAGCACGATCAGCACCTCTACTGATTTCGTCGGAATTTTGCTTTAGGATCCTCTTAAGGGGATGCTGGAGCGACGACCGAACTTGATCGATGTCGATGAAACAGATTTTTAATTGTAAATAAAATATTATGTATATTAAGAAAAATCATTAAGTAAAAAAACGTTACGTACATTTCTTGCTCTGCTATATTCTATATATCATATGAATGCGAGATTAATATACTCAAATCATACTTTTCAAGCCATTTCTCTTATAAGTTTTCAAAATCATAATTTGAACGTCTCTCTCACGATATCCTTATAAATTATTCAAATATGAAAAAGTACTTGTTTAGATACATCCTTGCATTCATTTATATGTATATATGTGGAGGAAGTGAATCTACATAGTAACAGAAAACTGTAATTTATTTTTTTTTTATTAGGAATTTTCATATCGGTTTGTACTTTTCCAAAAGTATTTGCGTTTTTTCTTATTCTGGAGAAATTTTTTATTTTGTATAAAGGTAAAAGTAAAATAAAACGATTTGAAAAATACGAAATTACGGTCCATTGGTAACTCCAGCATCCCCTTAACATTTCAAATACGAAGTACAAGCTAATTATCATTTTATTTGAATTGAAGAACTTACCAATCGTTATTGCTCCTTATGTATTCCACCGAAAAATTCTCCATCTGAAAAAAAACGATTTTTTCAGATTTTCTGCAGAAATTCCGATTCCATATTTTTTAAGGTTATACAGAATTTCTGAATACTAATTAAATATCAACTCTTAAATACTATACTATGACAACACATTTACATGACGTACCCAACCGATTGCTTATAACTACTTTCATAAAAATAGATATATTGTAAATAATAGTTTTTCAATCGAAACATGACTTTAACAAATATATTTAAACAAATGTATGGATCTTTATTAAAAAAGTTATAAGTAATAGAAAAAGCATTGAAAAAGCATTAAAAAAAAACTCATTAAAGAAACTCGGTATGTCATATCAAAAGATGTTTAAGGGTTAAAATATATGTAGATTTTATGTTAAATTTAATTTTAAAAATTGTGCGAATTGTGTGTGTGTTATTCTTTATTATGACTCGATGAGATCTTTTTACGCGAATAAATACGGGAATAAAATTGTAGTAAAAAGAGTCAACACGCCTTTTTCAGTCACATCGTAAACCCGAGTGCATGTATCATATGTGTTATGGCCGCGTGGTCGAATCAGAGGTACATCAATTACTGCAGGTATCTCTTTAGGTGCAACGACGCGCGTAACGTACGCGTGGCGCAAGACTTTACGTCGATATAAACACAGTTGGCAGTAACCGACAAGAGAAACGCGATCGTATGGCTGCTGTGGGTCGAGCGGCGCGGTGCGGCGCGGCGCAACGCGTTCCCCACCGTCGAGGCAATGAATACGAATAGGTTTCGAGATACGATCTCTCTCGGGATACGCGCGGCACGCGGGAGGGGTTAAATTAAATGATTTGCATAAGTAGGTGGGTGTCGACACCGGCAAACATTGACAAACGCGTGTGCCGCAGCACATGCTTTCTCGCTTCTTCGCGCTTCTGTTTCACTCGGTCTTGCTTTATCCCCCGTCAGAAAAGGGGAGATCTCTCTGTACGAAGTTATAAGAATATATTATTACGAGTAATGGAAGCATACCCCCCCGAGCCTCAAACCTACGCTGTAAAGCAGTCGCCAGATAAGAGCATCGAATGCACGAGGCGACACGTGTCGAACGGAGTGTGGGTCACTGATACAGCCATTCGCAATTACACTACACACGTCATTGCAAAAGCCTTCTATCGGGATGTTACTCTTTCGGATTTCGCTATAAGAACCCTTTGCTCCGCTTGTTTAGAGAGCAAAAATCTATTTTTTTTAATTTTACAGCGTTTTTTGAGAGTTGTTAATTCATTATTTGTAAGATTTATTTATTATTTATATTCGTTGCCTCAAAGTAAGACTTATTTATTATTTATATTCGTGGCCTTAAAATATGACACCTGTTTCAGCACCACTAGAGTGGCTTTTCCATCCTAAAGATTAGAAGTACATAGATTTGTCTATTCATTTGAGTTTAATTCATCAATTTCCGCCGAAATTCTAAACGATCTGCAATCGATCTACGACGAAGTGACAGAAAAGACGTATCTTTTAGATTCCCCGAACAATCTCTCAGAGCGTAACCTACGCCTCCCTCGATCACTTCTCAAGCGTGGTATGTTTGCTGTTGTTGCGACAACGGCGTCACGTGTCAATTCGCATTATTACTATTTGTCGAGGAGAGTATATCGCGGACGACGAAGAACGTACGCAACGATGGATCGGCTCGACCCTTCGTGGGAAAAGCCAACGTAAACAAAATAAAATAGAGATAGATAAAGAATGGCGCGCGCGAATATCATAGAAGAACCCCTCCTCGCAACTTCCCTTGTATCTAATCCCGGATTGACTCGTGTCACTTATTAATATTTTATGCAAACACCATGATTTACGGTTGGGCGCGCGGAGGTATTACCCCACCGTCAACCCTCTTTCCTCTTAGAAAACCGATAACCGCAGACTCGACAATAGCCTTATCTCCCTGTATCGTCGTGACGAATGACATTTGCGTCTTGATTACGCCGGGATATCCATTTATGAATTCATTCGCACAGAATTATTAATTTCTGTCGCTTGCGGGTGTGACAAAACAATGTTTCGCTCTTTACACAGACTCATTTTGCCGTTTTCTTAGCGATTCAACCATGATTTTAACAAATTAATTTCTCTATAAGAAATTACAATTTTCTTAGAAATTCGATGATTTTAAATTCCTTCTTTAACGCTGCGAAAAGTAAATATGTTACATTTGTGCCTTAAAATCGAAGAATTTTATTCGTTGTTATCGCAATACCGGCAACCATTTTCTGTACGCTTTCCCTCTCGTTTCTGTTCCTCAAGATTCCTACCCCAACTCGCATAGTGAAATCACCAGTAGGATGCTGATGGGCACGGGGCGGTTAGAAAAGGCGAAATCTGCAAGCCAAAACGAATCAAAGTAATCCTCCGTGCGTTCTCGAAAAGCACCTTCCCTCTCTCCCTCTCTTGCTTCAGTGATTCGACTACAGTAAGGGCGGAGTACACCCTATATCCGGAAAAAAGCTCACGACGCGATCGATGAGCATTTCGTAAATGGATCTCTCTCTCTCTCTCTCTCTCTCTCTCTCTCTCTCTCTCTCTCTCTCTCTCTCTTTTTACGCCTTCCACTTGTCGCAATAGCGGATGGTAATTTCTCAGAACCTAAAGTTAACAATTTTTCAAGTACTTAACAAGAATATGACAGAATAAAAACAAACCAAAGTAAATAAGATACTTTCTACATAATCTGCTTTTAATATAACATATAACATCCCATATAGGGCTTTATAATCGGTTCAGTGTTAAGCTATTATTGATTGTCACAGTTCAGATACTGGCAGAGTACTACTAGATAATAATTTGGATCTAGTATTGGCAGATGGTATTGGCTCGGTCATTTTAAGCAGTCATTTACCAATGATGACCCAATACTTATTGACAATACCTTGGCCGTCAATTGGCAATCATATAAGCGTTGGTTTGTCTCCTGATAATATCCCATATGGAATAAACAAATGTTTGAAAATTAAATATTCCTTGATATTAATACAATTCTTTAAAATCAAAATCAAAAGCACGTAAACTATTATTTTTGTACAAAGTTATATACAATAAATCGATCATATTGAGAAAGTTTTCATATTACAATTAAAACAACATTAAGTTTTGTTAGACTACACACAAAACCGCCCCTGACTACTCGTACTTTTTTCTTTTACCCTCCAATCTATTCCTGGCCGCGTGAAGGCAGACGCGTCGCCACGGTGGTAGTGGCGGTTCACCACCAACCGCCCCTTTCGTTCCTTCTGAAGGAACAAAAGTATCTTCTCCTCGTCGTTCTTCTCTGACTACTGCCATTGACTATGCTATCCTCCCAACCCGTCCCATCCAACCCCGTCGCCGTTGTCCTTCGAGAAGCCCTCGTCGCTTTAAATTGCTGATGAGCATTTTTAGATTGGTTACGTTAAGTGAATTGGTACATAGACACTCCTGTGTTCTCTCGATAAAAGTCTTTAATGAATCCAGGAGGAAGATGGCCTTGCGATAATAATATATTGCTATCATCATATTATCGCCGCGTATTAATTAGCAATACACATACAAAACATATATGTATATAATAATAATCCTTTCGAGAAATCTTATAAATTTATCGAGATATCCTCTTACAAGTTCGCAAGAAGTTGTAAATGTAAAAAATTAATTACTTGAAATGCACACGCAAGGATTCGTACCGGAGTACGAATAAATTCAATAAATGAGGTAAAATTATAATTAATATCCAATGTATGCAAGTTCAGCTTTGTGAGTCGCAGCTCATTATACTTATCACTGTTAGAACATACTGTATATATTAATTATAAAAATATTATATAAAGTTACTAACAGGAAACATAGTCATCATGCAATCTCAGTCGTGTTATCGTAATGAGAAGCATATAATTTCAAACATTTAGACGAGAACAAGTCTCAATATGTTAGATATATATTAACATCCTTGGGAAAATCTGTCGACAAACACGATTTTTCTTGAGAATATCAAAACGAAAAAACATATAATTGTCTCGGTTGAAATCACCGAGCATACGTAAATAAAACACAAACACGAACCAGGAAAAAAGTAGCGACGAGTTAATTAAAGCCCCTGCCCAGCATTAAGAGTCAAATCGAGAGAGATTCATCGCGTCTGTCCTTTCCTCTCCTTCTCCGCTTTCCCTTCGTCGTATCCTCGGTCATACAGTTTTTCTTCCCGTACGAATGAGCGAAAGAGTGCAAACAGAGAGAAAATCGCCGCAGGATGGGAGGAGAAGGGAAGGACAAACGGCCGAGGTCTGCCTTCTGGCTTCATCCGATAAAGGGAACGGGTAGTCGGCCGAATCCGTCCGGGTCCCAGCAACAACAATAATGTCGTCGTCAGTTCGTTAAGCGCTTCTTTCAGGCGACCTGCTCCTCGCCTCACCTCCGCGAGCCCAAAGAGATAACTAACGTTCTTCCCAACTACAAGGACGACGTCGACGACAACGATGACGGCCACCTACACTCGTCACGTTACATCCTGGCTGTTACGACACGTTGAGCCAACCGACTGCTTACGTGCGTGACTTTGTCACTTAAGATAATATCAAACCGTGAAGTCATTTATCACCTTTCAATTCCCACAAGAACTTCCAGCAGAGATATGCAATGCAGAGATAATTAACGGGATGCATCTCGTTCTCTTCGATGACTTTAAATATATCAATACCACAAATTTCTAATAAATGAAACGTCCAAACATGAAAAAAACGATTTTTTAAAATAGAATAACTTAAGTAAAATAGGATAACTTTAATCTAATCGGGATAACTTTGGTCCTAAAAAATGCTTAGGACGAAATCAAGACATATAATATCTTAAGATGTTTAAGACATTTTTAAGAGGTCTTAAAATGTTTTCAATTCACATTTTATATCTCAATTTTGACTTTAGTGTTTGGGCATTGTTATTTGGACCAAAGTTACTCTATTTTACAGAATTTAAAAATTTAATTAAAAGCAGATC